AAATGGTTTTGCTGAATTGGCAAAATAAATGATGAGTCCGATCAATGAGCCTACTCTAATTGGAGTCCACATGTATTGAATTCTAGAACTGATAATTCTATAATTTCCAAATGAAGAGGGGTCATTAAATTCAAGGAAGCATTATACAACTTTGATTATTCATCGCTTTCATCATAAGTTACTTCTAAAAATCAACAAAGAGAAGACTCAAACTATTCAAGAACACATGATTGAAAAGACTCCAAAACTACAACAATAAACATTCATGATGGAAGAACAAGATGATTATAAACAACCTTTTGTTGATTATTTAAAAAAAAGGCAAATTATTAATAAATAAATTGTTAACCACACAAATCAAGATGAAAGCTCTAAGACCTTCTTTTGTTAACAACACCTTTTATCATTAGATTATTCGATCAAATACAATTATGACGACTGAGGGCTGAAGCAGTTGATAAAGTTACAACCAAAGTTCATGGGGTTGCACCGCACACTAGTTAGAAGTAAAAATAGTAATGAAGATTAAAAAATTAGGCTAAAGTGGTCATTTATGGTGAGAGTGTATCAATCATGCGAGGAAATGCCATAAATCTCAAGTTCACAAAGACACCAATCATTAACTTCCAAGCCCATCTCTCTCCACAATAACATAATGACTATTTCAATGTTAGAAAATGAATATAATTGAACCCATTGATCTGCCATTTTTTGGTATATATTGATTCATCCTAGCAGTGAACGATTATTTCTCTAAATGGGTTGAGGCCACACCATTCAAAGAAGTTTTAACTGGGCAAGAGATCAACTTCTTCATCCATAATATTATCTACATATTCAATGTTCCATGCCACAAAGTATCAGACAATGGACTAACTTTCAAGAGCACTAATATATAAAGATTCATTAATCGACATAAAATTGATTAGCAATATTTATCGATCATAACCCAAAGGAAAATAACTTAGCAAAAGCCTCCAACAAGATATCAGTCAAACTACATATGAAGAATCTCACCACCACCACCACCACCAACAACAAAAACAACATCAAGCCTTTATCCCACTACGTGGGGTCGACAACATGAATCCTTTTTCTCCATTATGTCCTATTAAGAGTCAAATTCTCATTCAAATCGAATAAAAAAATCATTTCTAATACTTTCTAACAAAGTCTTTTTAGTTCTATCTCTACCTCTCTTAACTAGGTCATCAAAAGGTTGACGTTTTAAGTGATCAAACCATCTAAGGCCATTATCTCTAATACCATTTGCATTGTCTCTAAGAGTACATACACGCATCCACCAGAGCATCCTCATTTCTATAACACTTAATTTTATGCTTCTCTTTTAATGGCCAACATTCTACACCATAAAACATTGCAGGTCTCACTATCATCTTATAGAATATCCCTTAAGTTTGAGCAGCATTTTTCTATCACACAACAAGCCTGACGCATTCCTCTATTTCAACCATCCAACCCTAAATTCTACTACAATACCCTAAACACTATACCCTAAATAATAGATCAGAGATATCTAAAACGTGTACTCTTTTTAATAATTTGATCGCCTAAAGTCACAATCCCCCACTAGATCTATTACTAATAAAATTACACTCCATGTTTACATCTACTCAAACCTTTAGACTCTAAGGTTGACCTCCATAATTCTTGTTTTACTTCAACTCTCACTCTAGTTTTATCAACAAGAATATCATTAGCAAAAAACAAACACCAGGGTACATCCTCTTACAAATGTCTAACAAGAACATTTATGACTAAAGGAAAAAGATATGGGCTCAAAGTTGATCCATGATGTAATCCAACTGAAATAGGAAAATACTTGTTCAAACCACCTTATGTTTGAACACAAGTAATAGCACATGCATATATATCCTTAATGACTTGAATATAAGCATTATTAACTCATTTCTTTTCTAGAACTTTCCAGAGCATTTCTCTTAGAACTTTATCATATACTTTTTCTAAATCAATAAATATCATATGAAGATCCTCATTCTCTCTATACGATTCTATTAAACTTCTTAAAAGATATATAGCTTCCATAGAAGACCTACTCAGACATGAATCCAGATTGATTTTGAGAAACATTAGTGTCACGTCCTAACCTATGCTTCCACAAAAACCTACCTGCATGAATCCAAATTGATTTTGAGATACATTAGTATCACATCATAACCTATGCTCAATAACTCACTTTCATAGTTTTAATGTATGACATATTATCTTAATTCTTCTATAATTCGTTCACTCTTATGCATCACATTTATTCTTAAATATATGAATCAACACACTCCTCCACTCATATGACACTTCTTAGTTTTCAAAATAATATTAAAAATTTTCGCAAACGAAGAAATTCTTTCTATCTCCTAAACATTTCCACACCTTTATTGGAATAATTATCAAGTCCAATAGCTTTTTCATACTTCATTATCTTTAAAGCCTATATCATTGGTTAACTAAATCTAACCAACATAAAAAATTTTCCTAAGTCTACTTGCACTTACTTTCTCCCTCATTAGAAATGTGGTATCATTTCTCAAACTAGCAACTTCTATATTTGGCTAAAAATTTATGTGCCAACTCATTCCATATGGGGATAATGAATTCAACCATAAATAATTCTGTCAAGCACATAATGAATGTGACTAATCCAAGTACTATAAAAAATAAGATAAATAATTTCTACATACAGCCACTTAAGAATATCTTTCTTAACTAGTTCTTTCATGGTAGGGTTAAAGCCTTTTTCGTGCATCTGCCTTTGGTTGGTGGCCAACATCCATTAAAATCATGTGCATATATAAAGATGGAATTTTTTTTTTTTTTATGTATGCAATAGTCAATCAAACAAATAAGGCTCATCCCAAAAGTAAAATTTGACATCATGCATAATTTTTCCCCTTTGCTTGTATGACATGCCAAATGGTAAAAAACCACTAACAATATAATAAACAATATCAGCATATCAAGGCACACAATGCTCACTCAATGCAAACAATTTCTTATAAGGGAAAAAATTTATGTCATGTTCAACATGCATTGGGTTTTCCAATTCAAGTAAAAAAAATGATCAGCAACTTGGTTTTCAATTCCATTTCTATCAAGTATTTTTGCATCAAATTCAAAATCCACCTAATCAGTTTAGGATTTGTATTCTTTTTGGTTATAAGATATTTAATTGTAGAATGATCAATATAAACAATAACTTTTGTGTCAACCAAATAAGATATAATTTATCAAAAGCAAAGACAATGACTAATAATTCTTTTTTACTGGTTGAATAATTAATCTGAGCTTCGGTTAAAGTTTGACTAGCATAATAAATACCATGAAATATCTTATGTAAGAAGGAACAAGTAGCATAATAAAGTTGAGGGCGTGATAAAAATAAAAGTAAGAACGAATTTATAACAAATTCAAAATAACTAAATTCTTATACTGTTCGGATAATCCTGATTCTACCTTTACATCTCATTAACTCTTGCATTTTTAATTTCAATTAAAATATATAAGAGTTAATCAAATGAAGAGATAGAACCAAGATTATCCAAGCAATACAAGAATTTTCCTCAAGTTCACTTGCACTCCCTACTTACGTTCTCTCTCACACTAACATTAGAAACTATAAGAAAAACGACAGAAAAAAATGAGAAAAGGATCTCCTGATTCCCTAAAGTCGAATTTCAGTTAATCCATATTTTGAATGATTGCAGATGAAAAACAAGGGACAACAACAGTAAGAGGTCGGCTAGAACGATTCCAGCCACGGCAACTGTTCTTTTCCTGAATTCCCTAGGAGTAAGATCGAGTTAATACTCACAATTGAAGCAATGGATCAAAAAAGACCCAGAAATTTAACTTTAGGCGAGCTTAATATGAACTTGAAGGGGTTGGAGTTGGAAGTATCTTTTTTTTAATTGCTCTGTTGTATTAACAGTTGTTTGGCTGTGGTTTGTAATTTGTATTTGAGTTCTCCTTGGTTGTGCTCTTAGATATTTTAGTAACTTGTAGTCTTGAAAGTAAATTGTTTAGTTTATCCATACAACTTCCTGGTGTCAAATTTGGTGGCACAAGATAATTTATAGAAGCTTCAGCAAGCTCCTCAAATACCTTGTTGCAAAACACTTGGGAGTTATTGGGATCTACACCCACCAAAAAGTCATAGCGTCTAATCGGATAAGGCATATGATTGTTGGAATACAACTTTTGTGATTTTTTTTCTCCTTATTTAGCTTATCTACTAAGCTCAGATCGAATTTGATCTCTTTTAAATTTTCTTATAATACCTTTATGAATACAGCAAGTTAGTCCCTCTTCCATTAAGTGCAGCAGGGATTGTACTCCAGCTAGCCCGAAGTGGCATGCAATCTAAAAGCTAAAACTATCCGATATGTGATCATAACTATATTATATTGCATATCTTGGCCACCTGCACCAAATCCATAATTTAGCATCAATTTTTAAGAAGGAATTTTGATGTCGAAATCCAGTATGTGTAAAAATGAAAACATCATATCACATCTAATGCTCCCAAACGCTACACAAAAGCCAAAAATTAGGCCAAGCAGATCCTGATCAATAAAATCATTAGACTCATCCAAGGACATATTTCGACTTCAAAAGGCAATCAATGATTTTAGGAAAAGGTTAAAATTCGCATTGATATAAACCTAATGTACCACAAAATCTCAAGAAAAAAATTAACTTAAATATGATCTATTATCAGAATTAATTATTTAAACAAATTATACACTCTGGGTCTACTATAAGCGTGGGAAGAAATGGCAAGACATAAAGTAAAAACAGAGGCAACCACTTCACATTCTAAATTTGCAAACCGACACACTTAAGTAAAAAGAAAATTAGCAATATCCTGTACAAGCAAATAAAGAAGAATGTGCATTAGTGATATTAAATCATGCAAAAAAGTGTAAATGCACAACAATACTGCACAACAATAATACACAACATGCCTTGGAACACTTTTCCATTGATTTCAACTTCGTAGGATTCCATAACTTCTTGGATTGCAGCACCAACGTCAGAGAGTCGTACATCTATTCCAGATTCCTGCACATCTCACAAACATCAAACCTTCTTAAGGTTATGAAGATTAATACCTGAAAGCTTTTCTTTAACATAACTACCACTTAATTTTGCTGAGGAAACTTCCCAGAGATTTCATTGACCAGGAAGGAAACCTAAACATGCTACCTAAAAATACATAGTTATGCCAACTGTCTTTCAAGCTTTTACTAAAGCAGCAAGGAGTAAACACGTAAGAAGAATGGAAAAACAATATAAAGTCAAAAATTTTCTTTTGCAAAGCAATCGCATGCCATTAACTAGCTTCATAATTAGAAAACAAAATCCTGAGTACTGCTATGGCCACAAGCATGGTTAAAACACCTAATCTCCGTAACTAAAGAACCAAAAATCAACTTCAGTTAGTTAAATTAGACAGAATATTTGTGGTGTGTGCTAGTAAAATTTAATTAAAATTACTGTGAGTGAGAAATAGGCAAAAAACAAACCACACAATTGTTAATAATAATCGACAAATTAAGATTTTGATGGTTTGGTAACTCATCATAATTTTCTTTTAAGCAACGAAATGGTGAACTTAACAATCAGCATCATTTTACTGGTTCAAACAACTTAACTGACACTTCCTACAACTTAAAAGATGAGGGATTGAATGATTAATGCTACTACAGATGACATATCTGTATGTCAAATTGCACAGAAATCATATATTCTGGGATATGGAAGTGCTACTATATAGGTTAACCCAAATGATGCTTTTTTCCACAAAAAGCAGGTTTATAGCTTGCATGATTGTTTCTGCACACAACTTATGCTAGGGTAGTCTAAGAAAGCTATAAAGATAAGGGTGTATTAACAAGCATGATAATCAAATGAACCTATAGCATTTCCTATTTCTTTGTCTTTCAGTACTACATACTACATACCCTGATCCCAGTGTTTGTGGCTTCCCTTGAAGCTTCAAGCAATGGATGAAACATGGGATTAAATGCAACTGTAAATGCACAGTCAACTATATGTCCTGAAACAGAAAAAGTAATAAATATTATACATGTGGAAAATAAGAAATAAATAAATAATACAGAAGTCAACAATCCGAGAAAAAAAATAACTAAATGAAGAGATTACCATCAACTTGTGTTCCAAAATCCAACTTCATCACATCATCATACTGAAGTACAGTTTTATCACCAGAATTAGGAGTCCAATGAGCTGCAACCCTAGCAAAGTAAAGATTCAGGATTGCCACTGAGTACTGATAAAGTTGCACATACATGTGACATATCTCAGCTCCGTTTGCACACACACACACACTATGGCAGAGAATGAGAGGAAGGGAAAGCAGAAAGAAGGGTTGAGCAAAGAGGATTTCGAAGTAGTACCAATTCAAAGAACACCCTGTAGGAAAGGCAATTCCTGATTGAAGTCCGCTCTCTTTAATCAGTTTTCGAACCATATTTTCCAAGGTTTCACAGAGTTCAAACATCAAGATTCCTGGCTTCAGGATGCTCCGGATATAATTTCTAACCTAATCATTGATGAGATAATGCTATATAGTTGTCAAAGAAAAAAGAATGTTCCATTTGACATAATCTTCAGATAAAGATAAAAAGGCTAGCTTAATATCCATTGGACCTAACCTGTCTATGAACTTCAGCGGCTCGACGAACAGCATTATACATAGGCTTTTCTAAGCGCTCAAGCTCCCTTTTCTCTTCAGAAGTTGACCTCCACAGATTGCTGAACCAAAGATTATCAAATTATAAAGTCCAAACATCAACATCTAGAACAAGAATTGAGAGACAAAAGCTTATACAAAAAATGTTTCTAACTACAAACATGATTTATTACTTCGATCATTTTCATAATATCCTTTATCTCCAATTGTCATGAAGGTTATGCAAATAGGTAGTTTTTACAATCATTAAGGAAATTTTTGGCAATGTGCTAGACAGAATGTAACTTCACACTTGCACTAGTTCTAGGAAATTAAATTTTACATAAGCACTTACTCATTCTTGTACTGCTGGATTTCACCCACAGGAAATTCCCCAGATGAAAATAATTCATCAACAGGAATTGATGGTGGATCAGTTTGCTGAAGGGATTGAAATAATGACAAATTAGTCTGCTCAAGTGGCTCTTTCTTTTTCCTGCAGAAAACATGCAACCACTATAAAGAAATTGACTAAAAGATTTTAAAGCTAAAAAATTGCAAAGCGCATACTTTGATTTGTTTCTCTTCTTCTTCTTTGTAGACCCTGACAAAAAAAAAACAATAAATGTGCAAGTAAATAGTGTTTAATTTTTTTCTCATAATTAAATGTGTGAGCTAGTGCATGTTTGCATACAAAAAAATGATGATTATTAACTTTATCCAAACTATTTTGGGTGCAAATTTATAAATCCTTCTCCATTAATTATTTTTATATGCACCTGACACATTAAATCTTATTTACACGAACAATTTTGTGTGCTTATAGTCAATCTTATGTTTGGTCTAAATTTTTTCCTTCCAATTCCTTTCACATCAATTCTCTACTGCATTTCATTTTAACTCCTATTATACATATCAAAAAGTTACCTCGGTAATTTACAGCCTTAACGTCAATAGACATACCCTTACAGTCTCTCAAATATAAGTAGATTTTTTCATACGTATTTTTACTTCACACTATAGCATTATCATTTTTTTGGCAAACTCAGCTTGGTGACATTTTTTGCTGTTACAAATATATATATCACCATTTGTTTAATCACTATATACATAACAAAGTTACCTAGGTAATTTACAGCCTTAACTTCAATAGATATACCCTTACAGTCTATCAAATATAAGTAGATTTTTTCATACGCATTTTTACTTCACACTATTGCATTATCATTTTTTGGCAAACTCAACTTGGTGACATTTTTTGCTGTTTATATATATATATATATCACCATTTGTTTAATCACAATCATTAAAGATGGTGCAATTGCATAAAAGGATATGCTTGATTGCAGGTAAGCTGATGGGTTTTGGATTGGTTATGGTGGAGTGTTTCTTTGCAAAATACATATGCGTGGGGAATTGAAAAAAAAAAGAAAAAAAAGGATGAAATTACATCTTTATTAAGTGCCTTCCAACCCTACTATCTTCTAGAGGTTTAATATAACACTAAACTAATGATGTAGAAGTTTAAGGAAGCATGATAGATTGCAAGGTTGTGCTTGATTGTAAGTGTAAGGTGAATGATAAATTTAGGGAGTTTCTTAACATAAAAAAGTAAGATTATGTATTTAGCTTGAAGAACAAAGATCACCCAAAATTCAGATAGATTTTGGGCTTAAATTGAAGTCAAGGAGTCAAGCTAGGCTCAAATCGAACTTGCATTGAGCAAAATCTTTGCACAGAACGAGCTAGCTCAACATCATATCAAAAAGTCTCTCTCTCTCTCTTTCTCCCCCCCCCCCCCCCCCCCCCCCACACACACACACCCCCACACACACACACACATCTATATATATATGAGTATATACATGAATATTTTATTAAGACTTTGCCCTAAACAATAAAAAATTAATCAAGATCATATCAATTTCCAGCTCAACTTGGATAGAAGTTAATAAGACATGCTTAGCTCTAATCGGGATTAGATATAGCCAACCTAAAACTAAATTTAGCTTGACTCACAATCGGATTGAATGACTTTGAGCCAAACTTGAGCTGAGATTAGATCAGATTATAAGCAGCTATTGAGCCCTACAAACAAGTTTATGTGGAGGGTGATAAAGAGAGGGTGTTGCGGTTAATATAAATGAAGAAAGATACAGATCTAGACAATAAATTTGACAATCTTTCTATCATATCCTATATACAAAAGAGGTGCAGCATTTCCTATAATCAAAGCTATGGTTGTGCTAATTTTTAGAACACCAAATGAACTATCAAGTCTTTATGCCAGTGTTGATCTATAAACAATGGGGAACCCTTCTCTTTGAAGCTCTCATTGTATTACAATTGGCCAAAACACATAAATAAGATTAATAAATAGAAAAAGAAACTTGAGGAAAGATGGTAATATCATACAAGCAAGATTAATAATGGGGTTACCCAAATTTGGAGAGAGGCTGCTTGAAGTTAACTTCTTGATTTTGCTTGGCCTCCACTTGCTTAAGGATTCTTGCTTACTTGGATTTTATCATTTTCCTTTGATTGCCAGCTTAAAGATTGATAATTCATATCCTCCTTGGACTTTCACTCAATTCCTTCCTCAATGGTTGACTCAAGTACGGAGATTTAAGAGAAAAAGAAGAGTTTTTAAAATTTTTATTTTTATTTTTTAAGAGAAAAAGAAGAGATGCTTCTAAAGAAAGTGAGAAATTAGGGTTTAGAAGAAACCAAAATCTTGGCTGAAATTTTCAAGATAAGGAATTGGAGGTAGCAAGCTAACTAGAGATAGGGAGAGAGAAAGGGTGAAAGAAATTTATCATGCAATTAAATAAATGATTCTTTGAAGGAATGAATAAATTTCCATTACAAAGCTCCCAAATTTATAGTCATAAAAATCAATTGAAATAAAAAAGAGAAAATCAAGTAAAATTTTATACCATAACCTATTAAATAAGTCATATCATATATAATCATTCATCATAACAAACCTTTAAAAAATCCTTAAATCAAGAGAATGACTTTTAACTAATAAAAAATCCTCCTATGCATCTTGCTTAGCATGATAGATGGTCATGATTGATGGATCAATTTGAGTAAATTAGATTTGGTCTTCCTTAATTAATGCAACCATCCTTTCTCCTAAAAATTAGTTGGAGGCAATTTTTTCATTTAAATTTGTTTATCACAAGCGTGGTGGACCCCTCCATGTATTTCATTTGGTACTTTATAGTTAAACCATGGATTAAAAAGGCGTTCGAGGCAGACTCCTCGAGGTGCGCCTCAAATCGAGGCGGAGGTCGGGCGAACTAAGGCTTAAACCTCGAACATTTGGGTGAGGCTTACGCCTTTTTCCACTGAGACATACGCCTCAAGGCGTGAGGCACCGAGGCGCATCGAGGCAGCGCCTCAAAAGGGAGAAAGTTACCTTCACAGCCAGCCAGCGAGCTCTCGTTGTTCCTTCCGATCAAAATGTCGTAACTTAAGATCTGACAGGAAGGGAAAGTCGTCGAAGGAGCGAAGTCGAACAGCCACGAAAGAGCCAAGGAAGGGACGTGACAATCTCTACACCTCTTGCAAAGCAACGAAGCCGAACAACAAGGACGAAAAGAGAAGATGAAAGGAAAACCCTAGGCGCGTAAGTTATTATTGATTAACTTAATTAATATAATTTAAAATATTAATTAAGCAAATTAATTAAATAATAGTATAATTAGTGCATAAATTAATTATCTAATTTAACTTAATTGACTAATTAGGAATATAATTATTAATTACATATTAATACAATTAGCCTAATTAATATAAATAAAAATATATATTATTAAATATATAATTAACAATATTAATGATAAGTACTGAGTATCATTTGACATACCAAATAGTTTTCAGGATTTATCAAATCCAAATTTATAGGATTTACTAAATCCCACAAAAGTTTATCAAATCATGCTCTGTGTTATTCATTGGAATTTATTCCAGCAAATTACATATTATGAAAAGATTTTTCTTTTCAAATATAAACATCAACGATATTCTTTCAATCAAACAAAAATTCAGTATAATTTTATACATAAATCATAAACCCATGAAAATAATTGCTTGCTTCCTTTTCTTAGAACAAATCATCAATTTCATGATTGACTTAATAGTTAATATTTTATCATTTTTTATAATTTTACATTAGCTTATTTTTATCGTTTTAAGACTTACACCTCGATCCGCCTCGAGGCTTACGCCTCGCCTAGCTTAGACAAAATGCCTCGATTCCCGATTTTGTCTTTTAAAACATTGAGTTAAACTAACTGGAATATAAATTTGTAGCATCAATTTTTGTCATAATGGGTTTTATGGGCTCAATGGTCCAAGGATGTTGGTAACCTTATGGGTGCACTCTTTTAGTTCCTTTTTTGGCTCAACCAAGCTAAAAATCCTTAAAAGTACTTCAAAGTTAGACATGGATGGCAAAGGAGTTTACAAATATATGATTAATAGAAAAAGAGGATTTCAAATGAATCATCGAAAAAGTATCAAATTAAACTAGCAATAATAAGTGAAACGAATAGCTCGGGCTTAGGGCTGGAAAAATTCATGAGGCAACAAGGAGGCTATTCATTCCTAAAATATCGTATCAATGAAAATAATAATGTTGTAAGACCTATTTATAGAAAATGGGAAAACAACTAAAATGATCTCTTGACTCTTTATGAAGGACCAAAATACTCCCCAATTATATTAAAGGTCATTTTGGTCCCTCAAGTCTTTAGGGAGGAATCAAAATAGTCCCATAATAGAACTATTTTGGTTCCTCTTTAAGGAGTTGAGAGACCAAAATTATCCTTTAATATAGTTGGGAACCATTTTGATCATTTTCTCTATAAAAAATCTATATAAAAAAAGATCTAACCCTTAAGAAAAATTTACATTAAGAACTCAATAACCAACAACAACATCAAACCTTTGTTCCACTATGTGGAGTCGGCTACATGAATCCTTTTTCGCCATTGTGTTCTGTTAAAAGTCAAATTCTCAATTAAATATAATAAAGAAAGATCATTTCTAATATTTTCTAACCAAGTCTTTTTAGGTCTACCTTTATAATTTGTATTTTATGTTAATTATTCATTTCTATATATTATTAATATGACTAGTGACGCAAGAAGGAAAGATCCTGCATGAAAATATAACACTCAAGTCAAAGTACCAGGCGAAGGTGCGAAGAAGGGATATGTTTACATGAAATGTAATTTCTGTGAGAAGAGCATTACTGGTGGTGTCAAGAGATTGAAGGATCACCTAGCCTACACTTATGTCAATGTGAGACCGTGTGCAAATGTACCTGATAAAGTGAAAAAAGAATGTATAGATTACTTAAAAAAAGTTTGCCACCACGAAGGAGGTTACAAAAAGAAATATGGAAGAGGTGATAGGAAACTCTTCTTACTATGGATCACAGCATGAAGGTTCAGTAGTGGAAGCCATCTTGTTTCTTCTAACCGAGGCAGTCGGAGGCCTATGGATAGATTTATGATAAATATTGATGACGATGAAAACATAAATACTCGGGATATTCAACCTTCTACTGCTACAAAAGAACTCAGGAATAGA